TTAAGAGCCTCAAGGAGCCGTAACCAGTTTGGCTCACAGAATAGAGCATTGCCTGCGGACTGAAGGGTCCCAGGTTCGATTCCAGTCAAGGGCATGTACCTTGGTTGTGGGCACATTCCCAGAAGAGAGTGTGCAGGAGACAGCTGATCAATGTTTCTCTCTCACCAATGTTTCTCTCTCATCAATAAAATATATTTTTTAATAAAATAAATAAATAAAAGCTTTGAGGAATGAAAATTTTGTTGTTTGCATACATTTAAGCTTACTCTTTGAACTGTGCAGTTCTCGGGTTTTGAAAAATGCACAGAATCATGTATCCACTACCCCAGGACCTTACAAAACAGTGATCATCCTAAATATTTGCCTGAGCATCCCTTTGTAGTCAAACATTCCCTATGCACCAGCCCCTGGCAACCACTGATGATAAATTGAATTTTTAATGGTAAATTGAATTGTTAAAATGTAGAGCCAAGCCATTGCAAGCAGATGGAACATCAAGAATAAAGGACTAGAGACTGTTTTTGGTTTTTTTAAAATATATTTTTATTGATTTTTTACAGAGAGGAAGAGAGAGGGATAGAGAGTTAGAAACATCAATGAGAGAGTATCATCGATCAGCTGCCTCTTGCACACCCCCTACTGGGAATATGCCCGCAACCAATGCACATGCCCTTGACCGGAATCGGTCCTGGGACCTTTCAGTCCACAGACTGACGCTCTATCCACTGAGCCAAACCGGTCTCAGCTAGAGACTGTTTTTAAAAACCAATAACCCAAAGCCACCTAGCACTGTGCCTCAATGATTTGTGTAGAATGCAGCAGATGGTCTGTAAATGTTGGCTGGCTGGTTGGTTGGTTGGTTGGTTGGTTGAATTATGAACTGTGTGATCTTGACATCTCTAAGCCCCAGTTCTATAAAATGGGGGTGATCCAACTCAGGGTTTATTCATTCATTCAACTAATTATTGAATTCCTACTATGTGCCTGGCACAGCTCTAGGCACTAGGAGTGTAGCAGTGAAGAAAGCAGACAAGGGTTTCTGCCCCTATGTTGCTTATTTCTTCTTTTTAAAGAAACTAGAGGCCTGATGCATGAAATTCATACAAGAGTAAGCCTTCCTTCCCCCGCCTGCCGGCACCGGCTTCCCTCTGGCACCCCAGACCCTGGCTTCCCCCGCAGTTCGTTCTAATTAGCATATTACGCTTTCATTATTATAGATAATAAGATTTTTAGAAGAAGACAAGTGCTGTGGAAAAAATGGAACCGGGTATGGAGATAGGCATGTGGTAGGGTGGTTAGAGCTTCGCTGGGTGAGGAAGCAAATGACACAGATGTCCAGGTAGGCCTGCTCCAGGCAGAGGTGGCCTCCAAGAAGAGCCGGGAGACCAGTGGGGCTGGACAGAGACATGAGGTCAGACAGCCTCGCATCTTGTAGGCCATGGCACTTTCATTCCTAGTGAACCAGAAAGTCAGCTCAGAGAATTGTGAGCTAAGGAATTACATGATCTGAGTTAGGTTGCTGTGATGGCTTTAAATTATTATATTAAAAATTAACATGAATATTAACTATTTAAAAAGGGCCTGGCACATGGATTGTGTGTCTCCTGTCCGAGTATTCACAAATATGGGCATGCATTAATGCGAAGGCAGAGGTGTGTGGACCTGGGGTGTGTGGGCCTGGGTTAGGGAAGGCACTGACCTGGTCCAGTCACTGGCGCCCTCTCCTGGAAGAGCCTGCACTAGCTGTGACAGCAAGAAGCCATCATACTGGGCAGGCCTGTCACCCAGGGCAGCTGTCTGCAAGTTGCTCATCTGTCCCTCAGAATGGGCCCCACAGTGCCCCGCGGCCTGGCGCCAGGCTGGGTGTGTGCTGCCAGTCTGCTCTGACTAGCAATCACAAGCCTGTGGTGTCATGGAAAGAGATCTGGGCTCCGGAGGCCAAGGAACCTGGGGCCCGGTCCTCCTCTGCTTGGGATATGGGCAGTTCACCCCACCTCTCTGGGCAGTGAGGAGCTTTCTCTTACTCCCAGTGATACGCCACGTACCCGGAACATGGCAAAAGCTCAGTAAATGTTGGTTGAATCAGTGAATGAAGTGGGGGCCGGGGGCCTTTCTGATAAATATTTAATTTATTAGAGAAAGGCAAATAAAAGTGCCTAGTGGGGATTCATTCAACAAGTACTTCAATATTTAATGAGCACCTTCTATGGACCAAGCACTCTTATGGGCACCAAGGATCTAGTTAGTGAATAAAAACCTTGCTCTTGGGTAGCTGACATTTTAGGTGTTGAACCGAAGGTCACTGATGTATTTGCATATGTGTCCTGGGCAAGTTTGTGGTGAGAGGAGGGTGAGCAAGTGGTGAATGGGTGTGATGCATTGTCTCAAGGGGCTGGGAGGGTAGCCAGAGTGGACAGACAGGGTCAGAGAGTGCCCACTGAGGCCTCAGTTTCTGGCTTAGGGATATATTTGCCTCCACAGTCCTTCCTACTCCTCCCGTTGGTCTGGAACTGGTCCCATGGCTCTAGTGGGAAGCTGTCAGTCTTCTGTGAGCCCTCTTATTTCTCAGTGTCCAGAATTTAAAGGAGACGATGCTAAGTGCCCCCAGCATGAGACACAGATCTTCTTTGGTTTATTTTTGTCCATTCTCTAGGAGCACCGCACCTGTCTCCCCAACCCCTAACTTCCTGGTGTCAGTGTCCAGCTCCCAAGGCGGCAGACAAAGGCAAGGGCTCAGAACCGGAACTACTAGTCCCAGGAGGGCTCTGCTCAGAGAATGCGTCCCTACTGTGGGACACAGGGTGAGTCTGGGTCTCCTCTCTTCTCTGAGGACAGGTGAGTGGTCATCACAGGACACAGATGTGAGCTGAGAAGGATGTGTGCAGAGCTGTACCGGCTGGCAGGGGCCACCATAGAGGCAGGGAGGTCTCTGACACAGAGACTTCCAAGCAGAGCTTGATGATTACTCATCAAGGCAGCCGAGCAAGGCTGGGGAGGGATTTCATCAGAGTGGGGATCATTGCCTTTGAGGTCTGACTCTGAGTCTAGGATTCCTACTCTCCCTCCACCATGGGGACTAGTCCACAGCCATGCTTTTCTTTGGAGGATGAGGCTGCCTCTCAGACCTTCCCTGACCTACGTGGCCCTTTGTGCTTTCAGGGGTAGATGAATGCACATCACTCATTCAAGGGAAAGAAGACACCTAGAGGCTCCAGAAAGTACTCACAGATGCATACGTCACCTCTTATCCACCGGGGCCCAGTCTCCCCCAGGTGTTTCTCTCACAGAGACTAGCTTAGAGTCCAGGGTCCCCAGCAGGCTCAAGGATAAGAAACTTCTCACTGATCCCTCCTCCCCTATTCCAGTGTGAAGACCCAAGAAATGCCATTTCTAATTTTACTTGGAGCTCTGCTACTGAGGGAAAGCAGAGGCCATGGGTTGATAGTGGACAGTGGCTGAGGGTGGTGACCAGGGTGCAGCCCCAGATGTTCCTAGCGCAAAGGTGAAGAAACACCAGGAAGCCCTGTGTACTGAAAGGTAGTCGGTTCCCATTCCAATCGGGGCACATACCCAGCTTTTGAGTTCCATTCCTGGTTGGGGAGAATATGAAAGGCAGATGATCAATGTTTCTCTCTCATGTCAATGTTTATCTCTCTCCCTTCCTCTTTCTAAGCATGTCCTCATGTGAAGATTAAAAAAAAAAGAAAGAAAAGAAAAGAAAGCCCTAGCCATTTGGCTTAGTAAAGAGAGCGTCCGCCTGCAGACTGAAGGATCCCGGGTTCGATTCCCATCAGGGGCACATGGCTGGGTTGCAGGCTCAATCCCCAGGAGGGAGTGTGCAGGAGACAGTGATCATGATTCTCTCTCATCATTGATGTTTCTGTCTTTCTCCCTCTCCCTGCCTCTATGAAATCAATAAAAATACATCTTAAAAGGAGGGGAAAGGGGCCTTCATAGAGAGAGGGACTACAGACTAGAGGGGAAGGAGCAACTTGTAAGGGAGGAGTGCATCCAAAGAAGGGAGAAAGACGCAGAAAGGCTTTTGGAAGTTTCTGGGGGAGGGAGGGAAACCCACCCATTAGGAACATCAGATGAGGCATCTTAAGACTAAAACCCTATTAGGTTTATTTCCCCTACAGACCATCTGAATTTATTGTTTGTGATCTCTACCCTCCTCCCATCTCTAAAGGCTAATCTCTCAGTCTATGAGGAGTGTCAGGAAGGCTGTGACCCACATGAATCCATCAAGCTTCCTAAATCATTGATCCACCCCGGAATTTATTTTTTGGAAGGAATGAAAAAAGTGAGAGCCTTCATCCTGTCCTCTGCAGCTACCCAATTGCCCCTGTGCCACCCATCAGTGTAAATGTTTTATTCCACAATTTCCTAATTTTCTTTTCATATGTCCTATGTTCCTCTCCCATCTTCCCAAACTCTCCCCAAATTTCCCTTTAGTGTTAGAGATAGCACTGCATTAAAACGATAAGTTAATGGAGGACGAGTGGGCAGCTTTAGAGTATTTCTTCTTCTCCAAGAACAAGAAAAAGCGTTTTATTTTCCTTATCATGGTTGTTTTTCCTGAATTGGCCCTGTGCATAAAGGTGCTCAGGGAGTGTCATGGAAAGGAACTGGGGAGGAGCCTTACTTCAGAACCAGTCTGTGGGGAACCGTGGTGACCTTCAACAGGTGCAGCCGTGGTGTTCCTGGGCCCTGATGATCTGAAGGGGGCAGGAGGCCCAGAATTGGGCCCTAATAGGAGGCATTTGTGGTTCCCCAACAAACACCCCGTTCAGCTCCCACCCCCATATGCTACACACCAACAAGGCAGGGTGGCTCTAGGAGCAGAAGAGCTGACAGGCCCCAGGGGACAGTCTGGCTGGGCAGGAAGGCAGCACAGTCCTTCAGGAGAAGCAGTTTGTCAGGGCCATGTGGGGGGGGGGGGGGGGAGACGCAGGAAGGAGGGGGCTCTGGCAATAGTCAAAACAACAGGGGACGTGGTTGGCTTGTGCTTCTCTTTTTATTGTTTCTGTCCGGCCCCTGCAGTGGGGAGGGGCAGGCACGGGAGGTGGGTGCCCTGCCACCTTGCCTGAGACCGCTCTGCCTCTGTCCTCTCCTTTCCTCTCAGCATCTCGCCCACCCTCACTCCTTCTGAGTCTCCTGCTCCCACATCTGGCACCTTCGGGGGTTCCCTCTTGCAGCCCCTGCTTGCTAAGCCTACCCTGGGAACATAAGGGACTATGGGGCTAATTTAGTGCCCCCCCAGTCTCCACAGGGACTAATCCCCCAGTTGCCTGCCTGGCTTACTGAGGAAGCCCTTTCTCTCTCTGACCTGGGCTGGGGAGTGGAGAGGTCCACCCCATGGGTCCCAACACCCTGCTGGGGTGAGGGGCCCTCTCCAAAGCCAGAGGCTAGAGCCTGAGGTCGCGGAGGGGGGAGGGGCAGGGTCACTGCTCTGTCTCAGCTCCATTCAGGCCCTGCCCAGCGCACCCATGGGCGGCCAAGAGCCCGGCGCGCTCACTTCCAACATCCAGTACTCTTACTACTGCTGGGGGCTCCCTGTGCTGGGCAGGGACGGGCCATGTCCCCTGTGGGGACCATGAGGGGATGGTGAGCGAGGGTCAGAGGCTGTGAGGGGAGACTGCGGCTAGGTGTGGCGTCCTTCGATGGAAGGCGGCTGGCTTCTGGAGGCAGTGAGGACAGGGGCGAGGACGGTCTCTGGTGGCAGAGGGGTCTCCGGCTTTACAGCACCTCGTGCTGCTGCTGTGTGGCCTCGCTGACGACCTGGGGAGGAAGAGAAAGACGGTCCGATCCAGTGCTGGCAGGAGAAGGGAGCCCGGCCCCCATTCCAGAACTGCAGCGCCCCCCCTCCCCTCAGACAGGGACTCAGACAAGCACAGCTGGCAGAGAGAGCCTGGCTGACAGCTTCCCAGACACACCCCGTGGCCCCCACCTGCAAAGGGACCGGGCAGACTGCTCACCTCCCCGTCCCGGGTCTCAATGGTCTTGATCATCACCGTCTTCTTGGTATGGACTTCGGAACTCCTTTGTTCAGGGCTTGTTTCTGTAACAGACCAGCCACACGCTCAGCCTGACCGAGTCCAGACCAGGCTGCTCCAGGGGCTGGGAGTCCACCCCCGGTTCCACGGGGCAAAGGGAAGACTCCCACCCCTTCTGTATGGACCTGGTACTTTTTCAGCGGGACTTTTATCACTTGTCCTTGAGCCCAGTGAGTGGCTCTGTGGACCCCAGGGTTAGTCCCAGGGTTGAGATGGGATCGGGAACCAACAGATGTGCTCCAGAAGTGGACTGGTTCAGGCAGGCAGGACCCCTGAGGCCCAGGCCACCCAGCACTTCCATCCCCCATACATCTTGCTCCTCTCCACCCTTGGGCCGCAGGAGAGCCCTGAGTGGATTTCTACCCTGACAGTTGGAACCCAAAACCCAGTCCCAAGGTGTTCTCTTAGATGTCCTCATGGTACCCAGCCCCCTTCAAGGCTCCAGATGAGTAACTTGATGTCTTAATGAAAGAGAGACGGACAGGAGTCTGCCACTGATTCATTGTTGGTGGCCAGTGACTTGCTCTCTGTGCCTCAGTTTCCTCATTGTGAAATGGTAACAATGACTCTTGCCCTATCATGGTCACAGGACTATTAATTTCAAAAAAGCAAGGAGCAGATTTAAATGTAAGGCTCACACTTGCTATCTGCATAAGCGACTAACTAAAAGGTTAGATTCTGAGTTTCATAGTAAGGGTCAAGTTTAGGTCCTTGGTACTAAGAGTCTGGTGTTCATGGATCTCCTTAGCAAGCAACCAGCCTTTGATGGGCATTGTAACTCCGTGGAACCAGCACATATTTTTCCCTGATGGAAATGAACATCGAAGATATAAAAGATTTGATCTAGGAAAGGCAAGGCTGCCAAGGACTCTGACTTCCTTTGCTAATGTATCATTATAGTGTGTTTCTCTGTTCTCCAGGGTTGGAAAGCCATGTGATCTGCATATTGCTAATGGCAGATTGGCACAATGCCCTAGCAGCTACTTTTTCTCACTGTTTGGCTTTGCTACAGTTTGGCTTCTTTGTTATAAACCTAATCCAACATCTTGTTCCAGCAAACTGGAGGTGTCCAACAAGCAGCGGAGAGGGTGGAGTGGGAGAGGTGGCACTTGGCAATTTGCCAGACAATGGGTGGCTGGTGCCTTATAGCCAGGGAGTGTGGTCCTAGATGCTTCTGCTGCCAGGCCCCTGGTTCCTTCAGAGTTTGGGTATATCAGGAAAAAGAAGCTGTTTGCTGATGCTCAATATTTCCAGAAGGTTCAGGGGACATGGTCAATACAATAGCATCCTATATAATAAAAGCCCAGCCACCAAATGGTGGAACGACTAAAACGACCAGTGAAGCAGTTGCTATGATGTGAACTGACCACCAGGGGGCAGAAGCTCAATGCAGGAGCTGCCCCCTGGTGGTCAGTACACTACCACAGTGGGAGCGCTACTTGGCTGACCAGGATGAGCGGCTGCTCCCACTTCCAACCCCTGGCCCACAGGCAGGAATCCAGGCTGTGATCATCGCCTCCTCCTGGTTCCCTGTCGCCTGCGCCGCCCCCCCACCCCCCCAGATGCCCACAGTCCACGGGGCTCTCAGACCTGGCCCCGAAGGCTGGTAGGCAGGTTTGTGGTTGCTGCAGGACAAGACTAAGGCCTACCCTGCTGCCTCTCAGTGTTATTGTCCCTGGGCCCACCCCAACTAGGTCCCCTGGAGCAGCAAGTGCTCTGGCTCCACAGAAGATGCTGGACCAGGGGGCAGCCGCTCAGAGGGTGGGTCCACAGCCACTCCACTAACCAGGAGGAGCAGCAGCCCTCCATGGTGGGCTGATTCCCTCAGGCCACCCCGCCCCTCTAGTGCATAAATTCTGTGCGCTGGGCCTCTAGTGAGATAATAAAATGGAATGATCTCTTTGTCAGAAGATCCCCTATCCAACCCTCCTCCTCCCACCCCCCTACTCCCCGGCAGCAGCCTCCTTTCTCTTCTCCAAACCCCAGTCCTGTCCCCACAGGTCCATCCTCCCCTCCTGGCTGGCCTTGAGCACTGCCCATGCTGGATTCCTGCTCTCCACCACCCAGGCCTCCACTTGCTAACATACACTCACCTCGAAAGTTGAGGGCAGAGAAGGTCTGGATAGGGAGGTTGATCCTGAAAGGAGAGAGAGATCAAATCCCAAAGGGTTAGGACCCTCACTGTCTCCCTGTGACCACCTATCAAGTTTGCCCTGGTCCTCTCTAAACACCATCCTCAGTTGTCCCAGTCCCAGGGACCCCAGCACTCCCTCTGCCATATTGCCCAGAGCTTAAGGTCAAAGGCCAACTTTAGCTGTCCCAGGAACTTAAGGTCAAAGGCCAACTTTAGCTGACCACCAGGGGGCAGAAGCTCTCCCTTTAGGAGAGATCACCCATTCCATCTCTGACCTGCTGGCATGACACCAACACCCCCAATCCTGCTGCCCTGTCCAGTTCACCAGGATTCCCTTCTTGCTCCTGTCATGGCAGGAAGTATGGATAGCAGCTCTGGGGGACATCCATTGTGTGTGCCCTCCAGCCAGGGTGGGAATCTCTGGCCTATGCACATGTGAGGCCAAGTTCCAGGAAATGCCATTTAGCTACCTTAAAAGGTCATTATAGCCCTAGCCGGTTTGGCTTAGTGGATAGGACGGGTCCCGGGTTCAATTCCGGGCTCGATCCCTCGTGAGTGGCGTGCAAGAGACAGCCAATCAGTGATTCTCTCTCATCATTGACATTTCTATCTCTCTCTCCCTCTCCCTTCCTCTCTGAAACTAATAACAATTATATATATTTTTTAAAGTCATTATATATAGGTGTTACTCTACGAAACCTGAAATGTGTAAATCTCCATCTAAACATGTCTGCTGAGTTCTAAAAACTCCCAATATTATCATTTTTATGAGTATCAATGGACATCATTTCTTTGAGTTAATGACCTGTTTTAAATTGAAGTTAAGTTTACATACAGTGAAATGCACAGATCTTTAGTGTGCAATCCAGTGAGTTTTGATCAGCGTTTAATTGCAAGTCTAAATAAAGATGGAATATTTCCTCCACCCCAGCAGGTGACCTCATGTTCCCTTCCAATTGTGTGCTGTTTTCTGTGTCTAGAGGAGAATTGACATGTCCGAGCTTGTCATTCTGGTCTTTTCCCATAAGCACATGTATGTATGCATGTATGTGTATGCACATCTGTGCCCTCAGTGTACAACTCTGCACCCTCTCTTCTAGCTTGTCTTTCCTTTATCTGCCCCTCCCTTTCCTACCTCATCATTCCCCACTTTGCTCTATCTCTCCCTTGACTGGCAGTAATATTTTATTACCATTTGCTAAACACGGTTTTATACTGCTGGTTCTTAATTCTGAAGGTAGAAGAGGGAATAGTTACATTTCTCTTTTTATCAAAGCTATTAATTAAATCACTTTTACTCAGGTGGCCTTGGTTAATTCTCTGCTATTAGTGGAGTGGTGGCCTCTTGTATAAAATTGTTTCCAGGTCTTGTTGAGGTGATCCTGAGCCCCCATCATGGCAGGAATGGGGGCCCTAGCACCCCCCAGGACCCCACTGCCAGCCCTGCCTTGCCCCTTACCGGCTCTCCTCGCCCTCCAGCAGCTTCCGGTAGGTGGCAATCTCCACATCCAGGGCCATCTTGACATTGAGCAGGTCTTGGTATTCACGGAGGTGGCGGGCCATCTCATCCTTGAGGTGACGGATCTCTTCCTCTAAGCGAGCGATGTTGTCCTGGTAGCCGCTGGCCTCACTAGCAAAGCGATCCTCCAGCTCCCGCATCTGCCTCATCAGGGAATCATTCTGCAGGGGAGGGGTGCCCAAGTCAAGGTCAGGTTGTTTTAAATGGGGGGACCCTTGGGTCCAGGATGGGGGAAAGACAGCCTCAGGGCTGGAAGACACTCCAGATAGTCAAGCCCAAGAGTTGTCAAACTCTTCTGAGCCAGGGAACCCTGACCTCAAATGAAGTAGAAACTCAGACAATTAGAACTGACAAAGGGCAGCATCGATGTTCAGCCTCTGCACCCCCACACAGGAGTCTCATAGTTTCCTGAGAGCCCAACTGGCAATCACCTGTTCTTACCACTGTGGTGGATTTGAGAGGACAGGCCCAGAGAGGACATGTGATGGGCCTGACCTCACAGAGTGAAGGTGGGAGCTGTAGGTAGAAAGGGCCTGGCCAGGCAAGGTGGGCAGGGACTCACAGTGCCTTTGAGAGCATCGATCTCGCAGGTATAGGACTGGATCTGGTGCCGGTATTCCATCATCTCCTGCTTGGCCTGGCGCAGTGCATCATTGTTCTTGTTGGCCGCCTGGGTCAGGTCGGACACCTAAGGGCAGAGAGGGGCCCTGACATGAGGAGGATGCAGGATGCAGGTTGGGGATGGGCAAGGGAGCATAGAGGCCCTGGCTCACCCTCCTCCCCATGGATGGAGCCACAGGAAACACTTCCAAACTGGACTTGAGGGGGACATAGGGGTCAGGCTGCCTACCTTCGACTTGTACCACTCCTCAGCTTCAGAGATGTTCTTAGCTGCAATGGTCTCATACTGGGCCCGGATGTCCCTGAGGGCAGCAGTGAGGTCCGGCTTGGTCATGTCCATCTCCACATGGACCTGCTGTTCTTGAAGCTGGGCCTGTAGCTCTCGGATCTCCTGCAGGGAGCATCTGGGCGTCAGTCCCCTACCAGGCACCCTCACACCCCCATTTCCAGAGCCGAGTACCACGATCCCCCCCTTTCCACCTGCTTTCACCAGTGTCTAAGGACCCCAAGGAGGAGGGCCCAGAGCATACCTCTTCGTGCACTTTCTTAAGGAATGCGATTTCCTCGTTGAGAGATTCGATCCTGCGCTCCAGGTCAATTCGAGCTAGAGTGGCGGCATCCACATCCTGGGAGAGGTCAAGCAAGAGGGACAGGGTCACTGATCACCCAGGCAGGGCAGAGGGAAACCAGAGGCCACACGGGGGGAGGGATGGGGGACAGAGATGTAAGGATCCCGGGTGATCAATGAGGGCTCACCGATCGGAAGGCAGCCAAGTTGTTCTCTGCTTCTTCTTTCAGTTGAATTTCCTCTTGCAGTCTGGTGGGGACAGACAGGCAGACAGAAAGATAGATAGATAGTTGGTGGGGATAAAACTGCCCAGAGAGTGGGCTGAGAACAGAGAAAGGAGGCCTGGCTGCTGGGTAGAAACAGGAGAGGCCCCACCCAGTGGAGCAGGGGACAGGAAGTGGCCCAATATCTGCCCTAGAGCCACACCCTGGAAGTCTATGTCCCCATCAGATTGTGACCTCGCTGAGATTAGGAAGCCCGTCTATTTTATCCACCTCTATGTCCCTGGTTCCTAAGCCCCAGCTGGGGGTGCGATTAATATTTATGACCTGGGTGGCAGGGTGGTGACTGCTCAGTTGAGCTGTCAGAAGCAGGACCCATGAGCCCTGGCTCATACTTGTTGCCCTTTCCTACCCAGAGCCCAGTGGAGCCCACCACCCAGGCCTTCCAGCTTCCTTGAGGGCGCCCCCCCCCCCCCCCCCCCCCCCCCCCGTCCCCTCTCTCCTTTCCTTTAGAATCTAGAGTCTAGATTATCTGTTCCCCTGGGAAATGGCACAGCCTCAGCTAGGCCCAGGGCCCAGCTCCCCACTCTATCCTCCTCCCTCCCCAGGGTCTCATCACAGATGAGCTGAGAGCTACTGCTTGGATTCCCCGCCCCCTGCCCTTCCCAGCTGGCCCCAGATTCCCTCCTCTCCTATCAAACCCCCTTTCCCTCTGCCTGAACCTGGGCCCCTCCTTCCTCCTCCACCAATCTGCCTGCCTGACAGCCAGCCACACCACCCCATTGTCTTAAGATGCTTCTTAAGGGGGGCTGTCTACAGGGCCTTCCGAGGTGTCCTGTTTCCACCCCGTGATGTCCCCAAGAAAACCCTTTTTGCAGAGGGGAGCGCAGGAGAGAGGCCTGGAGTCCCTCTGGCTCAGGGGACACAGGCAGATGACCTTCTCCCTGCAGGGCGCGCGGCCCGTGGGAAGGGGTTTCCGGGAGCCCAGGGTCCTCTCTCACTTGGCCTTGAGCCGCTGCAGGTCGTCCAGCAGGTTGTCGCGCTCCAGGTCGACGCGGGAGCGCTGGTTAGTGAGCACCTCCACCTGGCGCCGCAGCTCGCGCAGCTCCTCCTCGTAGATCTCGGCCACCCGCGTGGGCTCGCGGCCCTTGAGCCGGTTCACCTCGGCGGCGAGCGCGGCGTTCTGCTGCTCCAGGAAGCGCACCTTCTCGATGTAGTTGGCGAAGCGGTCGTTGAGCTCCTGCAGCTCCACCTTCTCGTTGGTGCGCGTGGCCAGGAACTCCTGGTTCACGGCGTCGGCCAGCGAGAAGTCCAGCAGCTCGCCCGCGCCGTAGGAGGAGGAGGGCGCGCGGGCCGCCCCCAGCCGGCTGGCCCGCAGCCCGCCCAGGCCCCCCGCCCCGCCGGCCGTGCGCGACATCTGGTACACGCGGGATGTCATCGAGCTCGAGGAGCCCTTGGTGCCGAAGCCAGCGCGCGGGAACACGGGCGAGCCCAGCGGGGAGCCGAGCGAGAAGGCCGGGGCGCCGCCGAAGGTGCGGCGGTAGGAGGACACGCGCTGGCTGGAGGAGTAGGCCTGGCTCATCGTGGCGGCGCGGGCGAGGCTGGGAGGCGCAGAGGAGGCGGCGGGCAGGCGGCCGGCTGGAGAGTGGATTCCGGCAGGGGACACCGGGCCCCCAGCAGCCGGCACTATTTGTATCCCTCCTGACATCAGCCCCCGCCGCCCCTCCCCTGACAGCTGCAGGATCCGGCTGTCCTGCCAGGAAAGGGCGGCCACTGGCGAGGGGGCGGGGAACCCAGCTCCCCCGCAAGAGGCCTGTGGGGGGCTTGTAAGGGGTGTGAGAGAGGCTGATCCATCTAGGAGGGCAGAAGAACGGGCCGGCCGGCCTGCCAACAGCCTCAGCAGGGCAGCAAGCACGCCAGAACCCCCAGGCAGGCCCCTTCAGCCTTTGGGTGCTGGCCTCATACTGGCGGTAGTCAGGGGAGAGAGCCCGAGAGAGAGGCTTCCATTTAGTTTGAGGGTCTCCTTTTTGCTCCAAGGTCATTGCTCCAAGAGACAGTGGGTCATTTCCGGAAGGGACACGGCCTGCTCTCAAGAAAGGCTCCACGTCACCATTTTCCCAAAGATTCTCTGGAAGTGGCAGAGGTTTGGGAGGGCTCAGGCAAATACCACCAGCCAGACCTAGAGGAGGAGGGTCTCTGGGCAGCCTGAGCGGGTCAGAGAGCAATCACGGCCAGAGCTGTCCGCTGGCCCCTGGGTTCTAGCTCTGCGCCTCAGTTTCCCCCCAGACAGGTGTAGGCCGTGATTTTCCTCCCCCACTTACTGATGAGGACATGGCCTCCAGTTTATAAACAACAGAGTGATTTCCCAGAATGGTCTGGTGTGCTTTCAGTTTCCAATGGCTACATGCATGCACTCTCACCCCCACACCACCAACCTCACCTGGCTTCTGCCCCCTTGTGTCCGCTCCACCCCTCTCTGACTCAACCCCATACCCACTTCACCCACGCCCACACACACACCGGGGGTTTGTGTTTTGTCACGAGCCGCATGTCAACCCAGCCTTCTCCCTGACAGCAACAGCTGCCAACCCGAAATACCAGAGCCGGTATTTATAGAGGAGAATGCACGGGTCCGGTAAACAAGCGCACTGAAGAGAAGCTCTGGGAGCGGGGCCCAGATACCTGAGGAGGAGGCACGCGTGTCAGATGGTGGAGGAAAGCCCCACTCACTTCCCACCCCCATAATGTTCCAAGCCCCCAGCAGGAATGGAGCCCGGCAGAGGTCTTGCCCATCTGCAAGGCCCTGGCTGGCCCCACAGGGCATGCCCACTTTTCCATGAGCACTGCTGCCTCTCCACACCTCCACCTGGCACTCCCTTAGGCCTGACCCTTTCGGAATGCAAATCCTGGAAATAGAGTTCTGGTCCTTCCCTAGTTCTGCCATCGCCAGCAGAACTAATTACTGGCAGACAAGCCCTTTACTTCTCAGTGTCCTCCTTATAAAGAGAGAATACTAGCCTTGCCATGTTTACCCTATACATGTTTGAAGAGCCTCAGGTAACAATATACAATAATAATAATAATAATAATAATAATAATAAATGTACGAAGCACCTACTCTATGCCACTCTGCTGAAGCAGTCTGACTCCAGAGCCCGTGCTTTGTCCCCAGGGTGGGTGTGAAAGTGCCGGGTGATCTTAAAGAGCTTTGTTACTGCTGTCTTTTCAAAGCCCTTTCACATTATGTGTCTAATTTTTACCCAAGAGACAAGCTTATGAGGTCGGTGGGGAGTTCCAGCTATTCTTATCCTTTCTTGGAGTCATTGCAAGCTGTTGCATTCTGGTTATTTTTGTGTCTCATCTCCCAAACTAGATTCTAGACTCCTGGAGAATTTTGGAGATCATGTGGGTTCTTAGTACATTCCAGGCAGCACTGTCCTTGTTGTAGTTCAAAGTAGCTTGTGAGCTTCCTTTCTCATTTCCTTATTTTGGTAACAAATGTCACACACACACACACACACCAGAAGTGAATAAGAGACTCAGCTCCCAGCCAGTTTTAGAACTGCATCACTTTTACTATAGTGATTGGCTCAAAGGGTGGTGCTGGAGCTGAGCAGGGCCAATCAGAGACCTTCCCTAGGATTTATAGATGGAACTGGGATTACTAAATTGGAGCCTGTGGCAACCATGTTTCCTACCTGCTGGGAAGGTCTTTCTGGAGGAAAAAGAGCTCAACAAGCAAGGAGAGGCAAAGACACCTGGAGAGGAGGAGAACTGCCAGGCAGGCAATCCCAAATTCTAGGCCCTGGTTCTGTAGCTCTTACTCAATTTCATGAGCTCTCTCAGTGTTCTTCCTTGCTTTGAGGCCAATAAACTTTTCCTACTTTTCAGTTAAGGAGCTTGGTGTTGGCTTCTGTCACTTGTAGTCAGACAATCTTGACTAATCTACTGTAGGAAAGTGCATATCTATTTCCACAATGCTGGAGATGACAAAACATTTGTGGGGCTCCTTTCTGAAAACAGTTTCCAGTTCACATAAGGAAATTGCCTTTCTACCCCGCACTGTCCACTCCTGTTCCCCATGTGCTACCAACCCCCTGAGCTGCCCCAGCAGGCAAGGGGCAAGTCAGCTTCATGTGTACGAGGAAGTACAGGCCTGGCCCAGTCCACAGTTCTGCATGTCTTCCCCAGGATTCTGCAAGGCTAGAAAAGGAGAAAGAACCTATCCAGAATCCCTGCAGGACAGGAAAGGAGGGCTGTCTCAGCAGGTAAAACTCTGCAGTGAAAATGACGGAAAGCTGGAAAGTGAGGGAAAGACTGAAGATGATATATAGATACACAAGATGGAGAAAAGTCTATGAGGAAGAAAAGCCAGAAATGGAGGGGAAGCCAGAGCATGAGGAAAAGCACCAGTAGGAGGGACAGCGATGATGAGGGGAAACAAAAAAAGCAGAGCAAGCTGGAAGGTGAAGAAAAAGCACAATGTAAAAGCAAGTCAGAACCCAGGCCAAGCCAGAGAGCCAGTCCTGCGCTGCCGAGGAGCGCCAGGCTGAAGATTGTGTGCCCCAGAAAAATAAAGCCAAAAACGGACAGGGGGACAGATGATTCCCCCAACAACTATCAGTCGGACTTACGGGAAAGACATTTGGGCAGTGAGGAGATGATGAGGAAATGTGGAGACACTGCAAGGGCTCAGGAAGAGTTAAGGGAAAAAAGAAAAGAAAGCGGATGTTTTCATTGGATGCCAAGAGATGTACAAGATCCATTCCTACCTGGGGACTAATGGGGTGGAGGCAGCGGCCAAAGGGACTTACATGATATCCCATACCTTTAAAGCCCTTGGGCTTTAATTCTGATTCCTCTGGTAAGAATATTCTAACCCTGTTTTCTCCGGTGGGCATTTGCCAGGTGATGTGCTTTCACCTTAAGCTGATAGTTTGCTTCAGGTGTCTGTCATTCTTGTCACCAGCAGCCTTTTTATCCATTTATACAGTACTCTATATCAGCAGGGGATTTTCACCCATATGCATGGAAGAGATGTTCATGGCACTTTGTAAAACAATAAAGGGAAAAGTTTACACACACACACATACACACACACACACACACACACACACACGAAATTGTCCTTCTGACTATTCCAGTAGCTCAGTGTAATTGTGAAATAAGACAGAAAGCAAATAAGTAAATAAATAAATCCACCTATTTTCTAGTAAAAATCAACATCTCTACCTTGGCTCTGAACCACTTGATTCAGTTTCCAAAGTTAAGTTTCACCCTTGAGGATTTGTTACCATGGAGGGCAGCAAAACAACACTCCGAGGCTTGGACGACAGGTGAAAAAGGAGCGCTCTGTTGAAGCAGCGATACGGCTGGGCTGGGTTTACTGGTAGCCTCCCCAGGAACCACGTAGAAGCAAATATACTAAAAAATAAAATAAAAACTTATTTGGATGGTTAATGTATCATCACAAAATGCAAGAGGCCCATTCTGTGGGTTGCCTTTTCATTCTGTTCGTAGTATCCTTTGATGAACGCACGTTTTCAATGTTTATGAAGTCCAATTTATCTATTTTTTTTCTTTTATCGCCTGTGCTTTTGGTTTCATATTCAAGAAATCATTGCTAAATTCAATATCATAGCTTTTACCCCCTGTATTTTCTTCTAAGAGTTTTACAGTTTTATATCTTTGACCTATTTTGAGTTCATTTTTGTGTGCTGTATGAAGGTAAGGGTCCAACTTCATTCTTTCACAAATGAATATCCAAATTTCCAGCATTTGTTGGAAAGACAGTCTTTCCCCATTGAATGGTTTGGACACCCCTGTTGAAAATCATTTAGCCATATATGTGAGAATTTATTTCAGAGCTCTCTATTCTATTCCATTGGTCTATCTATAATCTGTCCTTATGCCAGTACCATACTGTTTTGATTACTGTGTGTTTCCAGTGAGTTTTGAAATCAGGAAGTATGAATCCTCCAACTTTGTTCTTCTTTGGCAAGATGTTTTGGCTACTCCGGGTCCCTTGAAATTCCATATGAGTTTTAGGATGTAATTTTCTATTTCTTCAGAAAACCTTTTGACAGGGATTATACTGAATCTGTAGATCACTTTGAGTAGTATTGATAGTTTAACAATATTAAATCTTCATTTAATAAACATGGAATTCCTTTCCATTTATTTCTGTCTTCTTTAATTTATTTCAGCAGTGGTTTGTAGTTTTTAACATACAAGTCTTTTATCTGCTTGGTTAAATTTATTCCAAAGTATTTTATTCTTTTTGATGCTACTGTAAATGAAATTGATCATTGGGGGGGCTTTCCTGCATTCTGTTATTGTGGTGCATTATCCTAATTGATTTTTCATATCTTAAACCATCCTTCCATTCCAGGAATAAATCCCACTTGGTAAAATTAAGAAGTATGATTTTATCAAGTGGCATTTATTCCTGGAATGGAAGGATGATTCCATATATAATTTCTTTAATATGCTGCTGAATTTGGTTTCTAGTATTTTGTTGAGAATTTTTATAGCAATATTCATAAGGCTTATAGTTTTATTTTATGGTGTATCTTTGTCTGGCTTTGATATCAAGGTAGTGATGGGATGACAGAGGAGCTGGAAAGAAGTCTCTTATTTTCAAATTATTGGAAGAGATTGGTATAAATTCTGAAATGTTTG